GGATGACCTAGGAAGCTAAAGGCCAAATAAGTTTTCCCCCAAACCCAGGAAAAATTTTGGGGGAAAAAAAAAAAAAAAAAAAAAAAAAATCACAGAAGAAACCATCACACAGGCTAACTGAAGGCAATATTTTGAAGGATAGCCAACACTGCATCATGGGCAGGCTGTACCAGACCAACCTCATTTCCTTCTATGAAGAAGTTACTCACCACCTGGATAGAGAAAATGAGGATGAAGTCCAAGTATAACATCAAAAAGGCCTTTGACCTGGTGTCCCAATGTCCTCATGGTCAAATTGGGAAAAGGCAGCCTCGACTACTACATGGTCCAGTGGCTAGGTATCTGGCTCCATGGTAGGACCCAAAGAGTACCGACTGACAGAACCAAGTCATCATGGTGGAGGGGGACCAGTGGCATTCCTCAGGGCTCAGTAATTGGACCAATGCTCTTCAACATGTTCATGAATTATTTGGATTCAGGTATTACAGGCAATCTGGCAAAGTTTGCTCATGACACCAAGCTATGGGGGAGCGCCATCATGCTCAAAGATAGGCTGGCAGTACAGGCTGACTTGGACAGGCTCATCAAGTGGGCAGACCTCAACCCAATTTCATTTAATACACAGAGAAATGCAAAGTGCTCCACCTGGGGAGAAGTAACCCACACCACACTAAATAGGCTCAGCAGTGCTCTGCTTGCCAGCACCACAACTGAACATGAGCCACCAATGTGAAGCTGTAGCTGGCAGAGCTAACTAAATACTGGCATACAATCAGGGTTTGGGGAATCATCTATTCACCAAGGCTCCCCGGGGTGGATAAGAAATAATGGGAACATGCTGATTGAAGGTTGCTTCAGGCCGGCCACAAGGAAAAACTTCTTTATAAGCCAAGTGCCAAGGGTTTGGAACAGGCTCCCCCTAGAAGTGGTACAGTCATCCACCCTGGTGATCTTAAAAAAGGTCTTGAGGCCCACCTTGCTGGGAGCATAGGTGATGTGTATAGGGGCATATACCCCTCCCTCCACAAGGCTGGCCACCACTGAAGCCCCCCACCAGCTTCGGCATGTGGTCACCACTCCCCACTCCCCCACTGCTGCTGACATTGCCGCTGGCATCTGCAAGCAGTCCCCACTTGCTGTTTGCCACCCCTCCATCATTGGCACTGCCGCCTGCATCTGCAGGCACTCCCTGCTTGGCACCATGGTGCTCCACCACTCAGGAGACACCAGTTGTTTATGGCTGAGATCATTTGATCCCAGTAGTCTTTCCTGGGAACATGCAGGTGGGCTGGACCTGATGATCTACAAGGTCCCTTCCTAGTTGTTAGGGGCTGGAAAACTATGTTTTAAATCATTGTGGTATGTGTGTGTGCCAGTGTATCATATTACAAGGTATATGCCATTCATCAGAACAATGAAAAGATAAAATTAGCCATACACATACCTTATATGTTAAATAAGATGGAGATTTAAAAAAAAGATAGGAAGATCAGTAACAGTGGTCTTTATACATCTACCTGTACAACCAAATTATTTAAAAATCCTATATCAATTATCTCAACCCACTTAATTAAAAAAAGGTACTGGAACAGGCAAATGTTGGAGGGAGATAGTAGAATCAAAGTGTTCTTGAAGGTTGGGAGACATAGCAAGGGAAACAGGGTGCCATCTACTAGATAGCATTGAACCTTCCTTAGAACTCTGCAACAAGGAACTGATCATTCACCTTCTAGTGACTGCAAGAATGAAAATTGTTAAAGCCTGGAAGAGAAGCAATTCCTGTCCCGTCTTCCGCACCCCCACAAAAAGCCCAGCTTTAAAAAAAAAAAAAGTTTGGGACTTTTTAGTAATGGAAAAAAGTTCCTGTCAAGTCAGTGTTCCACTGGGGGGAAAAAAACAAGCAATATGCTTACTTAGAAATTTGGTGGATATCCTTGGAATTGGCCAATAAAAAGAATCTGCTCCTGCCTTCAGACCAGAAGGTCTGAGAATTTTTTTTTTTTTTTTTTTTTTTTTTTTTTTTTTGCATATTGAAGGAAAGTGCAAGTTCTATAAAGCCAACACTTAGAAAAAACATTTATTCAAAAATTTAAAATTTAGAGAGCAGAGATTAGTAGAAGTTAGTAAGATTTTCCTCTGAACTTGGCATTATACACAAGAGTAAATTATTATATAGAAATGAAGGAATACAAAAGCTTAACATCAATGAATACATAGAACTGTAAGAAGAACACAAAGAACTGCAAGAGACTGAAAGGAAAAGCAAAGAACACAAGACTCCTGCAGACATTGGACTTGGGTTAAAGGAGCATTGTTGATTGAAGATAAAATGTCTGTCTTCATGTATATTTTAGGGCTGGGCTGTTCAACTGGCAGCCCGTGGGCTGCCTGTGAGGGGTTAGTTGGCAACCCCTAGGGTCTTACTTGGCCACTATTCCCTGCTTCACTCTGGCTGCAGCGGCAGCAGCATCTGAAGGGTTTAGGATCCTCCCCTCTGGCTTCTATTTGCTGCCCCATCCCAGAGCAGCATAGCACAGCTCATGGAGCCAGGAAAGGCCCATGGCATGGGGTGCCACCATGACAGTGCAGGAAAGAAGCCTGTACCTTGGGAGCTAAAAAGGTAGAGCTGGGACATGTGGCCATGTGCCTGCTACAGCACGGGGTGGGAGGAAGGAAGAAGGTAGGCAGGCCCGCAGCCCATGCTGATGCTACCTACAAGGCATGCAGCCCCCCTGCCACTAAGAAGTTAGCCAACCCTGGTTTAGGAGACTGGATGCATCTTTAAAACATTAAAAACTTGTTTTTTTGCTAAGGTATATTCATTAATAAATAAAAAAAAAAGTTATAGGATAAATAAAAAAAGGAACAGAAGAAGATGAATTTAAGGGGGCATAATTAAACTGGGTTTCAAGTGCAATTTAGAACTGTTCTTTTTATATCACCACCACCACAAGCTCTTCTCAATCCAGTTCTGATTCTATAGAAACAAGCAACACAGCAGCATTGCCAATGACAGGGTGACCTGGAGGCTGGTGACCAGTTCAAGTGGTGCAACTTAGTGTAGCTCAGTGGAAGTCGACATCGGACAGGGGCGGGCAGTTATTTTGGGAAGAGGGTCACTTACTAAGTTTTGGAAAGCCATCAAGGGCCACGTGACAGGCAGCCAGGGGCAGATAAATATTAATTAATTAATTTTAGGGGCCCCGCAGGCCGGACAGAATGGCCTGGTGGCCACATCCAGCCCGTGGGCTGCATTTTGCCCGCCCCAACATAGGACTACGCATCTCACACAGCCAGAAGTACTGCCATGGATTTATCAGAGCAGCTCTGGATACGACAGATGGCTACATGCTGTGGTGGTGACTATTTTTCCTTAAATAGTAGAGTTAGTGGTTGCATCAGATTAACAGGAACTGCATTTAATTCATTATTAAGGATGAATTCATCATTGTAGACTGAGACTAAGAATACTAATGTAACCAAGGGTTCGGAGGAGCAAAAGCACCTACCTGGGAATATGAAAACTCCAGTCCAGTGACGGAGAAGACCACTTCACCACAGGTCATAAGGAAGTACTGAGGGATCTGCCAAGCCATGTGAACTGTATTGGGAGGGATATCCTTTATGTATCTCATCTTTAAACCACTGCCGCCACACTGAAGTATTGATAAGTAAAACACCACATTAGAAGTTAGGATGAAAAAAAGCTGTACATAAACATATTCCATTGAAGAGCATAGTTTTTTCCAGTCCCAAGGCTATATTCTTGCCCAAAATATAAGGTTTAGGTAAACAGCGCTCATTAAGCCCATAGTGCTATGGCATTAGCAATCCCAACATTACACTAAGTTCTCTCATTTTTAATGCTTCTAGTAGTTAGTTTTGCAGCTGCTATTAAAAGCCTAGAATATATGGAGACCATCAGTTTCAGGGCTGTTTAAAGTAGGGCGACTACATTTTTAAGGTAATTGGAACACTGCCAATCCCTGCCCCAGGCTGGAGGAGCAATGCCCAACCCAAGTGTGTCCCCTGCCTCTGCTCAGGAGAGTGCTAAAAAGGCACCAAAATACAAGTTCACCCAGGCCACCACACACACATGCACACACACAGCCAGCCAGGACGTATGGTCACCCCATGTTTAAAGTACACAGCACCATCAGTGCTAGTCACTTAACAAGCATTCCTTACAACATTGTCAGTGATGTGGTATTAACAGCCCAGAAGCCAACATCCCTTCCTCATTTTCAAAGCTTCTAATAGAAGTCTTTTGACAGCTCCTTCCCCTTCACTGTTGCTATTAATGGGAGTATAGTTAGTTAACTTACAATTAGCATGCAGTTAAAGGGAATACAATTAAATAGATGGTAGGACTGAATGATGTTATACACTTAAAAACACTTGTTATGCAACTGACAGGCAGGTGAATTATATTTATATAAAAAAGGTAAGCAACAGATTAAATTGGGGTTGGCACCGTGTTATGCAATTAAGCAAATTATTCACTTACGTGGTATGCACATAAGCATACAATTTTCTAAAGTTAGAAATGCAATAAAAGATTTTCAATAAAATAATCTTCTCAATGCTACAAAAGAAAAGTCAACACTGCATATAGAATTTTAAACGAGACAGGTTAATGGCTGAACTCATGAGATCTTTAGGGGTGTAGGTTGTAGCTGTTCGTGTTGGTCTGAGGACATATGCAGACAAGGTTCTTTGGGGGAATCTGATCTCTTATTAGACCAACTTAATTTTTTTCCAACTATTTAAGTTGGTCACAAATGTTTAATTGGTCTAATAAAAGATAGATTCCCCTAAAGAACCTTGTCTGCCTGAGATCTTTAGGACTTTTGTACCTGACTGGGCTCCAGGTTTTT